AGCCTCAACGTAAACGCCGGAGTGGAACTGCCAACCGCCAGCTCCATGGAAAGGTCGTGAGGTCCATCAGAAGCAACCCAGGTATATCCGATCGCGATTTGAGTAAAAAGTATGATGCCGCCCGTCGTACAGTGCAGCGAATTCACTACCGCGAAGGCTAATAGGCATACTTGCCTGCGCATCCTGCAGGCAACCAGATCGATCACTCAAGCCGAATACCGTAGCTAGAACCCGTGCTCAAAAGCTGTATGACAACCTACTGGTCAAGTCCGGTGGGTGCATACTTATGGATGATGAAACCTATGTAAAGGTCGACTTCGGGCAGCTTCCAGGACCAGAATTTTACAAGATAAGGGCTCGAGGAGGTGTCCCTGGCTGATTCAAATATGTGTTTGCGGATATATTCGTACGCAAATATATGATCTGGCAGGGAACTTGCAGCTGCGGCCAGAAGACAAAGGTTTTCGTCACTGAGAAAATGATGAACCGAATTCTGCCCTTCCTCCAGTAACATGATGGTCCGGTAACATTTTGGCCGGATCTTGCAAGTTATCACTACAGTCGGGAAGTACAACAATGGTACAAATAACACAGAGTCCTGTTTGTTCCGAAAACCCGGCCAACCTCCCTAGTAAAACATCCACAAAAGAAAAGTTAAAACGGAAAACCGAGGGACATGGAAATTCCCCAATCAGATTCACTATCTACTCATCAAGGCAAATCAAAAACAAACATATTATACGGTTTTATTCAAACATTGCCTTTGAAATTCCAAAAGAAAAACCTTTATTCCATATTGGTTTATTGTCTTGTCTACCTACAGGCGCAACAGTTCATGTTCGTGCTACCTTCATCTGCCTACTTCTTCATTGCCTTTTACCTTTCCTCTCCTATCTACCTGTCTATCGAGCGTGTGTGGTTATGTTCTGGTGTATCTTTTTTAAATTACTTTATTTGTACAGGCTCAATCGAATAAACTTTACAGAGCCGAGTTATCATTTCCGTTATACATTATTACTGTCTAATATTTAAAGTTAAAGGAACTGGACCGAGTACTCCTGTCCTGGTGCAGTTCGTCTTCACTGTGCGTGCTGCTATGGACCACCACTCCTGCCTCTTCCACTGATCTGAACAAAGTAAACGAGGCAGTCTTGCAAATCCTCAGATTAGCCACATTATCGCAATCTTCGGCACCGAAAATCAAGCAAATCTAACGAAGTTAGATTTTTGTGATATTCCGAAAATTATCCTCACTCTCTCGTCAATTGCATCTCTTGCTATCGGCATCTAATTTTAACGAACAGCTTTATTCATGCAACTGACTGTTCGGCCCAAGCATTTAAAGCGCCCATTACACATGTCAATATATTGACAATAAATTGACATACTGACAATATTATTGAAAAGGTGATATTGATGATGATGATTGATGACAAGTATTGACGAAAAGCTGATTTTCATTTCACTTTGTCAATACTCAGAATATATTGACAAAAAAAACAGTCAATTCTATCAATATCATCAATATACGAATATTGACAACATCAATGGCAATACGTTTGAAGCCTTTTAACCTCAATGTATTAAAGTCAATATTACTTGTCTTAATTTCCCCACACAAGAAACATGGATCAGCGGGTCAAAAGAAAAACGTCGTTACTGGACCTATGCACTGAAAAAGTTTTCATATAGTTTCGCACATGATATTTTTCCAATAACAAATTTAATGATTTTTATCTGAAATTCAAATAACGTTCATACGATCACATGAATTGTATATGACAAATCACATAAACTTCATTGGACACATAAGGTTCATGTGGTTTTGTGATGCGATTCCCAATTATGAGATCACATGAAAGTTAAGTGAAATTCTAATGGATATTTTCCATTGGAAATGTGATTTATTTTTTGAGTGTGGAAAATACTAACTACACACTGAATTCGGATAACCTGAGTCGGTAAAATTTTACCCGGTTTTTGAACTACTGAAAAAGTCGGTAAAATTTCAAATTACCATCACTCGCACCACCATCACTCGTAAGAAATCAATAAAATCGACACATTATCATTGAACGGTTTTAAATAGGTCCGTACAATTTCGTAATAAATTTCAAAATTGTTGAATTGGTTGGTACTAGAAATACTCAGAGGAAGAGATGGGCGGAGAGAATGTTTTGAGCCAAATGAACTGTCAAAATCTGAGCCAATCGAACATTCCCATTAGAATTTTTCCGAGGATTTCTTATTCTTTCTAGAATAAATTTGAAAGTATTGCAATCGAATAGAAATTCAATCCCCTTTATGTTTTGTGTGCTTCTCAGATTTAACTAGGTTTTGGAACCAAAAACAATACAAAATGACCTTCGTTGGTTAATGAATGGCACCAAGAAATGTGCAAAATATTGCGATGCAATCAATTATTATTTTGCATGCAAATCGAATCAAAAATAAAAGTCATTTGAAATGCTAGCTTCTAGCAATGGTTGCAAGATAATTAAGGAACAAATCCTTGCTGCCGTATTGTATTTTGTTTTCGACCCCTATCACACCCTCTGAGCATTTCTAGTTGGTACTATCCTTTCACTCCACTGAAAGTTCCAATAAGAAACTGTCAATGTTTGTTAGAAGATATGATTTCTCGACGGTTCCGTCAACGCTAATATCAAATGTTGTAACTTTTTGACAGGACACAGAAAATACACAGGACAACATGATAACAAATTAAAGGAATTGAATCAAATCGATTGTCGACTGCGTGGAATTACCACTCGTGTTGAATAACCCACGTTCATGGTATGCAGTTTTCCATAAATAAACTATTATGCTGATGTTTTGGTAAACATCCCTAAAGGAAAAACTTGCATATATTATTGAATTTGCGTTACGTGTAGGCATGTGAAACGCAGATAGTATTAATTTTATTTTAAAGTAAAAAAAAACAAAATTACATGATTATGCTTGTGATTTTGTAGAAAATGAACATCGATATAGACGAAGCCTGGGTAGTGATTGGCGACTGTAAAAGGAAACTTTTTTTTATTTAGTTTGATATCCATTTTATATCACACACGAAGATTTAAACAAAATGCCAACACTGCATGCGTGAAGGTGCATTGTGAGTCAGTCGGTATAAATGACGTACGTTCTCCCTCCTCTTGGGTAGGGGAAGAATATTGAGAAAGTGAAATGAAAATCAGTTTTCAACAATACTCGTCATCAAACCATCGTCATCAATATTATCTTTCAATAATATTGTCAGTATGTCAATTTATTGACCTGAGCAACAAACGCTTTAGTGTATTGTCATTAATGTTGTCAATATTTATATATTGATTATATTGTAAGGAAAATTGACAATACGATGTTTGTCAATATATTGACATATGTAATGGGCGCTTAAGGATAGGAAATAAAATCAGAAAAAGGTCAACAAATCTTCAAAGGATTTGTACCGGGTCGATGTACGTACACGCTAAGGCGACGATCGAGCAACCTACCGCTAGGCGAGTAAGAGAGGTGACACAGTCGGAAGAAGTGTTAGTTTGTTTACTAAAATGAACCGCCCATTTTGTTATGGCAAGTTTTGCTAAAAGAAATGCTCCTCGTGCTTATTAGCGAAATTCACATCAAAGATTGATTAATTGCGTAGGAAATCAGTTTGGCACGGCATTTGTAACCAGCATACACCTTCCGGTCGTATGAAACAGGTCAAAAACTGTCCAAATCCGCAGATAAAAATGTTTGTTTTGAATTTCTGTATAGCAAAATAGTGAACTTTTCGTCAACATTAACGGCAAAGAACTCACCAACACTGGGAGACCGTGAGTTCCTGCCCACCTGTCATTTCCCATCTCGAACCTACCGCCTATTTGCAGCAAAACGGGGATGAATACCACCCAGGAACTCACTACTGAACTAGACTCATTTATTGTTTATTATGCCAAGTGGTAGGCTACTAATTCACTCTCGAAATCATTGCATGGTAATGGAATTCACGCGCCTGTTGAGGGGGCGTTCAAAAATTATTTATAAGGTTTATTCGAAACTTGTGACAAATGAAAATATTGTTCAAAATGCAATTAAAAATATGGTACTCGCTACAAAATTCGAAATAGACCCAAATGATGTTGGTCCATTACCAAATGGGCCACGTTAAAGCATGACATTATTGCTTGGGAGGACGGACCAGCACTATAAGCAACTCTGAACAATCTTAGAAGCTCAAATCTTACAAGCAGGCATTTTTCACAGAACTGTTCCCATTTCATCCTTCCGCTTCAAACTCGTTTATTTAGAGGTAAAACCCATTCAAATTTACCTCTTACTTCACTTTCAAGCAATTTGCAACACGTTTAGCGCCCACAAAAGCACCACTTTGCAGTCTTTGATTGTCCCCAGTTCGTCCCCGCTTCACTTTTCAATAGTGGAGGAAAATCGATGTACCCTCACTGCAGTAGGCTCCTACATCAAAGTTTGTTTTTTTTTGTGCTGCCTTGCCAACACTTGCAACTTCCTCATCTTTCTTATCTAAGTTTGCGTGTTTTTCCCTCTTCGCTCAGAAATGTAAAGCACATTGCATTATTGCTCGTCTCCATGGTTTCACTTTTTTCCGAGTTACCGTTTTATTACTGCTTCTCCGATGGCCAATTTATGGCTCTCTGGTCCGAGCGATATGAAATTGAACGACCGTTTGACGCTAATCCAGCCGTTTAAAAGTATCCCATTAAGCGCTTCTTTCGATTGTCGTAAAATCTCTTTCTATTTGCGTTCCACTCATTCATATGCAAAAATGTGTTTCACATCACTTGATAGCAGACAACAAATAAAACAAAATTCAAAACTGGTTATGGACAGACTGATTTTTTGTTTTGTAGTTGCTACCTACATCCAACGAGTCCCGCAGTATAACCCAAAAACGTGACACTATACAAATACAGCACTAAGTTTCTCCTCATTTCAACTCCATTATTCTGCCGGGATGGCTACTTAACACCTACCTGGGTGGATCCGGCTGCACAGCAGATGGGCTTTAACTGTTCCAAATAGCCTTGTTAATTGAAAATGCAATGTACCATTGAAAAGATGCTATGTCGAACGCTTGTAGCTTATGTTGAACAAAATGAACACACAACAACTGGCAGGTACTAAACACTACAATCCGTTGTTCACAGCCGAGTGCAATCTGTAGATGGCAGTCCACATGTAAAACAACTATTTACACGTTGCATTTCATGCACACAATCAATTATCACTCACAAAGTCACTATGCCGAACACACTGATGTTAGCAAACAGACGTCGGAGGTTTTAAACCTCTTCCATATCAGTGGTAAAGAAAGCGATCCCGTGGGTTTGTTTTTGTTTTGGTTTTCTGGAGGCTCGACTGACTTTAACCCACTCCTGGTGAAGCGCCAAGCGATCTGCTCACGGCCAACAGCAGACGACAAATGAAATCAGTGGAATGGAAAGTATTTTGTTTTCAACGTGCCTCTGCCGCTTCTTTCTCTCTGCCATTCCCAACTTCATCGAATGCCATCCACTTCATTAGCCTATCCCCGTTCATCGTCTGCTGCTGCTGGTGTGATGTGATGTGCAATCTTTCTCCCTCGCGACTCTGATGTCCGGCAGACACGCAACAAGCACTGCGCTGAACTTGGAGATTTTTGTCGGTTTTGTGAAGAACCTAAATTTTAAATGTAAATTTTAATTTGACAATTATCTAACTATTTCTAGAAGTTGGAGTAAGTTGTAGATTTCGTTTCCGCCCTTCCGTATTGTAGGACCGACCCACCTCTACTTACTAAATGATCTGACATTTATGTTCATATCAGCTTCTGATTACATCGAAGAGGGAGCTTAGCATTCGGTATTCAGTTGTGAGGCCACCAGGCAACGCTGGTGAAGACCTGTAGCTTTCAAGTGCTGGAATTGAATATTTAAGTTTTGGCGCATTGACTTATTAGTTTTTTTATAATACATATATTTCACTATGTTCAATTAGGGTAGCTTTGCGGAGCCGTACTTCAATGGGTGTTTATCAATATTTATAATAGCTAAAGCTAGTAGCGGGGCGGGTAGAGGCGGAGGACCAAGGTAGCAGGAGGAATGGCTTCGTCGGTACAGCGCATGAGGGGGACATGCCAGCTCCCAGGATAGGTGAAGTTAAGGATGCTATCCGACAGCTTAAGAGCAACAAAGCAGCTGGGAAAGATGGTATCGCAGCGGAACTTATCAAAATGGGTCCGGATAAGTTGGCCACTTGTCTGCACCGACTGATAGTCAGGATCTGGGATACAGAACAGCTACCGGAGGAGTGGAAAGAGGGAGTAATATGCCCAGTATATAAAAAAGACGACAAACTAGAATGTGAGAACTATCGAGCGATCACTATTCTTAAATCTTTACGTTGCGGCAGATCCTCCAAAAGTGTCGTGAATATCAAGTTATGATACTATTGACCGTGAAGAGATATGGTAGATTATGGACGAGAACGGTTTTCCCGGGAAGCTGACCAGACTGATCAGGGCTACGATGGATGGTGTACAGTGCTGCGTGAAGATATCGGGTGCGTTATCGAACTCGTTTGAAACACGCAAAGGACTTCGACAAGGCGATGGTCTTTCCTACCTCCTGTTCAACATTGCGCTAGAAGGTGTTATGAAACGTGCGGGGTACGATCTTCAATAAGTCCAGCCAGTTCATCTGCTTCGCTGACGACGTGGACATTGTCAGAAGAACGTTTCAGGCCGTGGCGGAGAAGTACACCAGGCTGAAACGTGAAGCAGAGAAGGTTGGATTAAAGGTGAATACGTCGAAGACAAAGTATCTGTTAGCTGGAGGAACCGAGCGGGATAAGGCTCGCATAGGCAGAAGCGTGACAATCGACGGAGATGAGTTCGAGGTGGTGGATGAATTCTAGATAGAGCTGGAATTAGGGCCTAACAGCTTTCGTAAACAATGACTTCAATCGATGATTTCTAACCAACCTCCTCATCTGGTATGGAAAGACTTTCCCTATCGGATACTTATGTTGGTCTTCGTGGGTGTGCCATTAGTTCCTAAAAATCATCGATAGAAGTCATTGTTTACAAAAGCTGTTACGCCCTAATTCCAGCTCTATCTAGAATTTGTGTACCTCGGATCATTGATGACGTTGGATAACAACTTCAGCAGAGAAATTCGTCGGCATATTATTGCCGGAAGTCGTGCTTACAACGGGCTCCACAAGACCCTGAGGTCGGGTGAACTTCACCTCCGTTCTAAATGTACCATGTAGTTCTCTACGGGCACGAGACGTGGACGATGCTCGAGGAGGACCTGCAAGCACAGGGTGTTTTCGAACGACGAGTGCTTAGGACCATCTTTGGCGGGGTATGTGAGAACGGTGTATGGAGGCGAAGGATGAACCACGAGCTGGCGCAACTCTATGGCGGACCCTGTATCCAAAAAGTTGCGAAAGCTGGACGGATACGATGGGCGGAACACGTTTTAAGAATGCCGGACAACAATCCCGCAAAAATTGTGTTTGCCTCGAATCCGGCCGGTACAAGACGAAGAGGAGCACAGCGAGCAAGGTGGTAAGACCAAGTGGAGCAGGATCTTGGAAGTGTGGGACGGTTGAGAAATTGGAGGCAAGCACGGCCGAGTGAATTGGCGTAACATTGTGATGCAGGTGCAATCCTGAGGGATGTCGGACCATAATAATCAATCAGTAGAACGGGGCCGTGGCTTACTCAAGGTTAAGGACTACAATTATCAACCAAATTGGAAGGGAGTAACGGGGTGACATTGACGTTTCAGTTGTATTGCTGAATTCGGCGATTAAACGTGAGAGACGCCCTTCGGTGGCGGGCAAGTGCTCTGGATCTCGAAAGATCAACAGATTGAACTGTACCGAAACTCAATAAGGCATGGATAATTTTCTTACTAGGGGAAATTTTCAAGAAAATAATACATTTTAAAATATAAACAATTAATTTTACTCATTATTTTCATTCATCCATTGAACTTATGGAGTATGCATATTTCCCACAAATTTTAAATTTGAACAAGTTTTAAATTCTGAACATAAAAGTTATAATACTGAACCTAAAATTTCAAGAATCTGCAGTCAAATTCTTTGCACAGTTTTAAAGGCTCTTGGAATTTCATTATAATTTCCAAGGACCTCTTTCTAAGGAAGTTCAGGGAAAAAAATCTCCGAGAAAAACATCAAGTGCAATCTGCTTCCAAGGTAGTTTTGAGAAATTTTAGATTTAATGTGAAGCCTGGGATAGTTTTGAGTAAAATTTCAAGAAAATCCGAAACGTAAATTTTACTCAAAACTCTTGGTAATGTTTGAGGAGTAGAAGTTCTGTGAACTTCAGAGGAACATTCCAAGGACATTCTGAGGATAACTCCATGAAGTTTGTGAGAGAAAACGAATCCGGAGCATAAGTACTTGGACATTATTGGAGCATACTTTGGGGATGCTTAAAGGAGGATTACAATTAAATATGAGAAAAACTCCGGGAGATCTTCAATGTATTTCACAAAAGATTTCTATGAGAGTTTGCCAAACAATTATGAGGAAATTCTTTCCAATTTACGAGGAGAAATAAAAATTCATTCTTAGGAGACTTTCAATGTATTTGATGATGAATTTCAAGTAGAAATCAGAAATTAATTCAATGAAAATTCTATGAATCTTGCCAAAGGGTGTCTCACTGAGGAGAATGTTAAGGTCTTTCCGAACAAAATTTAAAAAAAAATGAATTTGGTAGATAATTCCTACGAAATTTCTTGGAATGAAGTATTCTGGTGACATTTTTTAGAGAATTCATAGAAGCGTTTCAAGTGGATTTCAAGAATAATTCCATTAGATTGTGGGGTGTGGCCTTAATGAGTTATAAGTATTCGTTGTTCAATTCACCTATCGTCTTACCCCTCGCTCAGATTTAAAATGGTTGAACACAATCATCCCTTTCGTATAACGGCAGCATCAGCACCTCAACTTACAAACACGGGCATCGTCCTGTTTCGACGGCAGTCTGTAGGGCGTAAAGCTTGGCGGGCTTTCACAGAGAGTATCGGCAGAATACAAAGCGAATGCTGAGGAAAACTCCAAGTGAATTTTCATGTGAAATCTCCGTTGAATTGGAATGGACTATTCTGAGATATTTAGAGCTACTTCTTTTTTTTTCTTAATTTGTTTTCCGTTGATCTTGTTTTCCGTGCTGAGCACCAATGCTACCGACACCAGGAAGGCAGCTCCCACACCTGGACCGTACCTATCGACCCATCAACTCATGAACCGGGGACCAATGGCTTTACTTCCCATCCGAAGGAAGGCGTGATCAGAGACGTAATGCCTGCTGGGGTGAGAGGTAATCACGCTTACCACTACACCACCGGCGCCTGTTGTTTAGAACTACTTGAAAGTTGCCGAAATTTTCCTAAAGTAATGAAACTGGATTGAAGTTTTTTGAGAAACTAGTCTGATGCTCACAATACTTCTCATCGATTTTTTAAGTCCTAAATTTTTTCGGACTCCTAAAGCATTCTCAATTTTTATAACAATCATGGATCTTCTCTAAAGCTTCAGAAATTAACTGAAGTTCTCGAAATTTCTTTAAAATGTATGTAATTTCTCTAATGTTAATGGAACTGTTCTGAGGCTCCTTGTTCTTTCTTGAAGATCCTTGCCTTAAGTTTTTGTAGTTGTCATGAAGGTTGTTGTACTGCCCTGAATGTAAATGAACTGATCTTCCGTGAACATCCGAACTGATATGAAGATCTCAATAATTTTCTTAACAACTCTTAAGTTCTCTGAAGATCTGGGAACTTCTTAATCGCTAATTGTTGGAAACTAATGAAACTGGACCCCCCCTGAAAAGATCCATAGGTCAACATTAGAGCCATTTCCCCTATAACACATTTGAAATACTCTCGCATTTTCCAGATGTTCATATTATTTTTATTGCGTTCCAAAAATTCTTTCGGAGCTTTGCTGAAGTTTCTGGAAATTCCCTGAGTTTTTGCAATATCCTTTGAATTATTTGAACTGCCTTATGATTCTCTGATCTATCTTGATGTTCTCGGAGCTTCCCTGAAGCTCTCAATACTGTTGAAGATCTCGGTTCTACTATAAAATAAATACAATTCTCGTTAACACCTTTAAACTTCCCTGAAATTCTCAGGACTTCTGTGAAGTATCTGAAATATTTCTGAAGTTTTCATAAGTTCTATGAAGGTCTCTGTAATTTCCTGAAGTTCTTGGATCATCTGAAGGGTTCTCGATTTTGTTGCAGCACATCATGGAATTATCCTGATGGTGTCTAAACTCACGCTTATATATCTTTAAACTGCTAAAAATGCTGGATTAAAGTCATGGTAACCAGCGGCGACGGTGGTGTAGTGTTAAGCGTGATTGCCGCTCACTCCAAAGGTCCTGGGTTCAATCCCAGTCGGCACCCCTAGGATATTCTAAGGCA